GTCCTGTGGCACGTCAATGAGACCTAGTATTAATATTCATGTGTTCTTAGTAATTGGGCGCCGGATTGAAATGGATACGTTTGAATGTTTCTATGTATAAAACGTTACAGAAGTTATATAAATTTGAATTCATTGTCCTTTAAGGCAACTAAACTGGTTAAAACATCAATAATGTTGCCACATCGTATAATTGGATGTCGCGCATGTGGTATAACCCGAGGGATGCAATTAATCTCGCTATACATCAACGGCCGGAGTGACGTGATGTTCACCAGTTGGTTTTAATTATTACGTGATTACACATAGACATGATCGAGGCTATGTATCAATCTTATGTAGGCATGGTGTGATTGCCTTGTTAAATAGGTGAGCTGAAAGCTGACATTTTTGGACGAGAAACCCCGAGTAATTGATATGCGTGCGTCAATGCCACTAGATGCCAATTGTCGTAATTAAAACCAAACTTGATCTCGAACTCGACTCGCTTATACCCCCTTCACATTACGAGTCCTTACGGATCGCACACTCGTAGTCAATCGCAATCATCCGTAATAACTTGCTGGTATCCGTATTAACTCGTCACAACTGCAGGACACTCGTAAGGATCCGTGAAAGAAGAGGCAATTTTTTGACATGTCAAAACTTTCTCACGAGTGTCCACGGATTGATTTTTTTCCGTAAATAACTCGTAACATCCGTACGTATCGTAAACAATTCGCAACAACACGTAACCATCCTTAAACTGCTCGAAGAATCCGTAAATGACTCGTAACAATTTTTGTTACGATTTGCTATGGTTAGTTTACGATTTGTTTACGGATTATTTACGGATTATACGAGTGTTACGTGTTGTTTACGATTTCATTCGGGTCGTGTTACGATGGCTTTACGATTGTTACGAGTTATTACGAGCACTTTACGAATAGATACGTATACTTTACGTATTATTACGTATTGTTTACGATTTGGGAAAAGCTGCAAAATCGAACACGTCATTTTCAGTTGTTATCAAGAGTTGTTCGCTCATATGCCATGTTGTCTCTCTGGATGTCAATTGATGATAGATTGAAATTTGCGGGTGATACTCCATTAGGAGTGTTGGCCAACTTTAATGTCATTAATGACATAATAACATAAGTATATATATATATATATATATATATTATATATATATATATATATATATATATATATATATCTGATATATATATATATATATGGTCATGGTCATATATTAGTTTGTGTTTAATGTCATTTCGGTTAGGGTTAGGGTTAGGGTTTGGATTATCATCATTAATCATTAATGATATCAAAGTTGGGAACACTCATAATGGAGCGTTAGCCCAGATTTGCAGGATTTTTATATACTTTTTGGCCAAAATACGTAAGGACTCGTAATACTCGTAACTAACTCGTACTATTCGTAACAACACGTAAACAGCGTCGCAACTAACACGTAAAAGCTTCGTTGAAATCGTAATAAATCCGTAAAATCCGTTAAAGCTCGTAAGTTGCTCGTAGTTATCCGTGACGAACTCTTAACAAATCGTGGATTTTGCCGTAAATACATGTAATAACTCGTAATAATCGTAATAAACCGTAATTAGCTCGTAAAAGTGGCCAACTCGTATGAATCCGTGTATTTTACGAATGTGCGATCCGTAAGGACTCGTAAGAAAAAATCCGTGTATGTGAAGGGGTTTAGGCGAAAAACCGAACCGGTCCTGAAATTTATGTTCGCGGCGGCTAGCTTCCGAAAATGCGCAAACATTGGCTCTGCACTGTTGTACCGCGCGCTGTA